TCAGTTGACTGGAGAATCGTCAATTAAATTATCATTTTTCATAGTTTTTTCTATTTGTACTAATGTTTTTTCACCATAAGATGATGTGCTAATTTTAACTTTTCCTGGATTTAACTTATTAAATTCAAAATAGTGTTGTTTTAAAATATTTGGTATTGTTGTAAATTTTTGTTTTAACCAATTTGTCCATTTATAAAAATATACAATTTGATTTTTTTTATTATCAAATACTGTTTGTGCAATATTATATCTACCAGGAGTTGAATTTTGAACTACTTTAACTAAATCATCAAGATTATCTACTTCTGATTTTCTTAAAAGTAATTTTATAAGTCCAAAAAATCCATCTGGACTAAATTTAGTATGTTCTGCAACCATAAAACAATAAGTTATACTATCATGCAATCCAGTTAAAACTCTCCAAGTTAAATATGCTATCATAGCATTATTCTTATTTTGTTCTGAATAATTATCTGTATGAATTACTAAATTTTTTTCTCCTAAACCATGTAATTCAAAATAATTAGGGTCTTTGCCTTGAAAATCAAGTTATAGGACATAGTAAATCATATATTTCATATTTGATTTTCAAGACAAAGACCCCAATTATGAACTAAAGAGATAACTGTATCTGCACCTTTACCAACTAATTCATTTTCTTTAATTAAATAGTTTATCTAAAAAAATTATTTATAATATATATTAATTTAAATATTTATAAAATATAATTTAATTATTTAATAATAAAAATATAATATTTTACTTGACGTGAAAATGCATCATCACATATTCCAAATAAGTGAACTTTATATAAAGATTTAAAATAAACTTTATCCTAATAAAAATATAATTTAATAAATAATTTATTATTAATTTTATAATAAAAATAACCTACTTCTTGTTGGGATGAATATGGTAGTTAGATTTGTTGTGCATAATCTCAAGATAAATGAACTGTAATATTTAATGAATTAGGTTTTCCAGCACGTACTAAATTATTAATTTCAAAATTTTGAATATTTTCATAAGCTAATTTAATTTGTTGCCTAAAAATTTTAAATATAATAAAAAATTAAAAATTTAAAATTTTAAAAAATTAATAATTAAAATATTTACTTATAATTTTCACGTTCTTTATATGCACATTTAATATACTTATGCCATTCTAATACTTTTGTTTCTTTTTCTTCTACTAACCAATAATTAGCATTAAATCTCATATCTTTACATTTTAAACATAAATCACTACGTGGAGTTAATTTTTTAATATGTAGTAAAAATTTTTTTCCAAATTGTATCAAATGTTGTTGAACCAATTTGATGTTGATTATTATTTTCAGTTGCTTCTGTATATTGTATATATAAAGATGAATAAGTAATATCTGCTGGTAAATATATTATTGCATATGTATTATCACGAAAATTTCGTCCTATTAAAAATTTATATTAATAAAAATTAAAAAATATTTGATATTTAATTAAAATTTACCTGGTGATGGTAATCCATTTTGTTTTGCAAAATTTCCTATAAAAGTAATAACTTTCATTACAATTTCAAATGATAAAATATTATTACTAACTTTACCAGTTCTTGAATTTTTACGTAAATTTATATCATTTTCTACAAAATGATCTCTTAAATTTTTCTATCTTTTTTCTTCAAGCCCATAAATTGTTCTAAAATCATTTAAAC